AGCTCAAACTGATTAAAACTTACCTGAGATCTACTATGATGCAAGAACGTCTCAGTGGACTTGCCATTATAAGCATAAACCATGTGGTCTCAAATCAGTTGTCATATGATGATGTTGTAGATGACTTTGCTGCAAGAAAAACCAGGAGAGTAAAGCTGTAGCAGGTTATGTGAGATTGAGGAGGTGATGGTGTAGTTTTTAAGTTACGGCAGTACCAAAAACACCACTAGAGGTCTTTGTAAGATCATCTTTTTATTTTTATTTAAATCCTTGTATTTTTTTGTGCCTACTCGTTTCTTTAATATCTTATTTTGCACAGTGCCGTATTTATATTGTATTTTTAAGTTAATGTCACTTGTTTACACTTTTTATTTTGGGAGTATTAATAGGTACTTTATGTAAGCTATTTATATTGTATTTCATATGTTCAGTTCATTTTTTTGTATTTGTTTCTTTAATTCTTTCTAAGTATTTTGAATGTGCAATTGCTTTATTTAAATAAAAGAAAGTCCAAGACAAAGCTATTACGTTTCTTATGAGAATTTACTGCGATGCAACGGGGCGCCACCTGAAATCTTGCCTAGGGTACCAAATTGGTTAGGGCCGGGCCTGGCTCCTTGCGCTGCTCCGCGGCTCTGCCGTGTATTTAATTCCTCCACTCTTACTCAATTCTCTGACTTTGTTAATGGAGACTTTGTTATTCCTGATTCTATGGATACAGAAGAGCTCGCGTTACACCTTCACTTTACCTGTCAGGCCGCCATCGATGCGGTGGCACCATTGAGGACCAGGCGCCTTAGGACTAGGCTTGAACTCTGGTTAAACGAAGAGTCCCATGCTGCCAGGTGTAAGTATCACAGGGCTGAGCGCAAGTGGAAAAAGGACAAACTACAAGTGTCACTTCAGATACTTAGAGACTCTTGGCATGATTATCAAAAAACTGAAAAATTTTAAGAGAAATTATTTCTCTAATATCATTCAGTCAAACTGTCATAAGCCTCGTGTGTTGTTTAAAGTTATTAACTCAGTTTTGAATGTCCCTCAGGTTGCCTGTTTTGAGTCTTCCCCCGCCTTTTGTCAAACATTTTTATTCTTTTTTAATGACAAGGTTCTTTCTACCAGAGCTCAAATTTTATCTCCTGCTTATGATTTTTCTGTTTCTTGTCCCTGCTCTGTTGTCTTCGACCAGTTTGAGTGTGTGTCCTTATCCCATTGTCAGGAGATTGTTGGGCGACTGAATCCCTCTGGTTCCCCAAATGATGCTGTTCCTCCTTGTTTTTTAAAGGAAATCTTTCCGGTTGTAGGGCCATTTGTTCTCTCCATTATTAATAGTAGTTTATCCTCTGGCCTGGTTCCAGTGATGCTTAAACATGCCGTGGTGCGGCCGCTGATTAAGAAACCTGGTCTGGATCCCACAGTGTTCTCAAATTTTAGGCCTATCTCAAATTTGCCATTTCTCTCCAAAGTCCTTGAAAAGATAGTTTATGCTCACTTACTGGCTTTCTTAGATGAGCATAATATTCTTGAGACTTTTCAGTCAGGCTTTAAAACCCTGCATAGTACTGAGTCAGCCTTGGTGAAAGTCTTATACAACATTTTTCTTGGAACTGACTCAGGGAATTGTGTGGTCCTAGTGCTCTTAGATTTGACTGCTGCTTTTGACACAGTGGACCACAATATTCTTATTTCTCGTTTAGAGAACTGGGTGAGTATCCGGGGTATAGCTCTGGAATGGTTTTGATCTTAACTTAAGGATAGATCCTTCTGCATGAAACTCGGAGATGCTGTGTCTTCCTCTGAGCCCCTTTTGTATGGGGTATCGCAAGGCTTGGTCCTTGGACCCCTTCTTTTTTCCCCTTTACCTTTTCCACTCGGTTCTATACTCAGGAATCATGGTGTTTCCTTTCATTTTTATGCAGATGATTGCCAGCTTTACCTACCGGTTAATAAGGCGAGCTCTTCTGTTAGTACACTTCTTGAATGTCTTGACGACATTAAATCTTGGCTCACTTTTAACTTTTTAAAGCGAATGAGGATAAGACTGAGGTGATGGTATTTGGTGATTCTGTTGTTTCCCCATCTATTGACTTGGGCTCATTGGCTCAATATAATACAAAGAATATTTTAAATATAGGTATCAAGATGGACCCTGATTTAAGATTCGACAGCCAAATTGCAGCTGTCGTTAAATCTAGTTTCTTTCAACTAAGTTGGCTAAAGTAAAAGCATTTGTCTCTAGACAGCAGTTTGAGACGCTCATTCATGCTTTTATCACCTCCCGTTTAGACGATTGTAATTCGTTGTATCTTGGGGTCAGTGAGTTTTCTATCACTCACCTCCAGATGGTCCAAAATGCAGCAGCACGTCTTTTAACAGGTACAAGGAAATATGAGCATATCTCTCCAGTATTGGCTTCCTTACATTGGTTACCTGTTCATTTTCAGGTCCATTACAAAATTTTACTTTGGTTTTAAATTCCTTTATGGCTTTGCACCATCCTACTTATCTGATTTGCTTCATTGGCATACACCCACACACTCTCTGAGGTCAGCCAATCAGCTTCTCTTGAGTATCCCAATAACAAAGCGTAAGCTTAGAGGTGATCGAGCCTTTGCAGTTGCTGGTCCCAAACTCTGGAATAACTTACCGCTGTCCATTAGACAAGCCTCAGGTATGTCAATTAGGCACTATGGTTAAGCCAGGCCTAATATTTCATGATTACAATTTCCGATAAATGAATTTTTGTGGCTTTTTTATTGATTTATGAATGTTATTATACATGTTATGTTAAATGTAAATATTCTGTAGTTTGCACATTTCATCTCCTTGCTTTATGTATTGTTTTCTTTGTCTCTTTTTATCCCTCTTTCATTTTTCTTTCTCTTTCAAAACACTATCAGGGATCTGTACCAGTAGCACTAAAAATAAATTAGCTTTTATTTTTAATAGACAAAACATATGTTATCTGACTATTTCAATGGTGCAGGAATCACATAAGAGTTATACACAGCGGGGTTTTATTTTGTATGTACAGGATCCAGAGAGTTTTGGCTCCATGCTGGAGCTGTCATGGAGGGGAACTAGGAGCATTGATCTGGGAGGAGGAGAAACACAAACCTTCCTGAAGGATGGAGATGAAGTCATCATCACAGGTTAGACTGAACCTTTATCACAGCAGCGAGATCACTGAAAAATGCTCTGGAAGCATACAGAGCGGTACCTCTTCAAAACTGGTTTTCAACATACATTAGCAATAAAAAAAACAACAAAAATAAGATCAGATTGTATGCAAGTTTTTATTTCACTGTTAATACTAATGTTATGGTATAAAGCCTATGCTATAGGAATAAAATGATGTAGCAACAGATAAAAAGAAAACTTCCAGTAATTGTAAGATCTGCTTTCACTTCCTTTATCCATATGCACAGGAAAATACATCTTTGGATTGTCCATTTACTGGTGTATAGACCAGGAATACAAGCAGAGGACAAGATATTCTGACTTTTCTTCCTTTACCTACTACTTTACCTCCTACTACTTCCTCAAGTAATAGAATCCATAAGTGAGTCCAGTGATAAACAGGGAGCCATTCAAGCTGCATGAAGAAGGCTGTGATTTGTCTGGTGGGCTTGGTGCAAGTACTGCTCCTTGCAGCAGACTTTTGTTTGATTTGGAGTGACTGAAGACAGTTATTGGGAATATGAAAGATGATGGTCATGTAATAGTCTTTGCATGATGTTACCAGAGCAAGAATAAGAAACCTGGGAGCTGTGATAAGAGAGGATGGGATGTACACTGGACATACGACCTAAATAAAAATAATCTGTGCATGAGATAATGAAGCATTGAATCAACAGATGCTTTAAATGTATGTGTTTTGGAAAGTTCAGTTTTAGCTAATCTTGCTTTTATTACTACCAAGTTTAAGAAAGTTGTTTGACATCCAGATGTTGATGACCTGAAGACAGCTGGTGAGGTCAGTGGGGGAGGGGGAGTGGTGTAGCAATGAAAGTATATTTCCCAGTGTTGAAGAATATTCAGAGGTTAAGGAGACTCAAAAGTGACTCCTGGGGAACACCCTGGGTAACTGCAGCACACACTGACCTGACATTCTTACCTTGAAAAAAGTGTTTTCTATTAGTTAGATAAGATGTAACCCAAAAAAGAGCTGTGTTATTGAGCCCAGTAGCAGGAAAACTTCCACAAATAGTGAACAAGAGATGTACCGAAAGAGGCACTGAGGTAAAGGAGTATGAGCACGGTTAGAAGGCCTATGTCTGTTGCAAGAAGGAAATCTTTAAAGATTTTGACAAGTACTGTTGTGGTCCATGTCAGTCACTGTCTCTGTTACCCTTTTGTGTCATCTCTGTAGAGTAGACTCAGTAATAAAAGCATATAATTCCAAAAAATACTTACAATGTTTTTCCTTTATTGCATAACTGTGTGGTGTAGTAGCACTGCTAACTAAACACTGTATGTCTTTTGCTATACTTAGTGTTATTTGTTCATATTGCCTCACTGCTGAGCTGTCAATCAAACAACAGCCCACCCACTCAGAGTCTTGGAGAGCAAACGAAATTTTATGGCCAGTCTCAGACCTGTTTTTGTTAATAGATGCAATGTCCATAACCACATGTTTATAATCAATGCCCAATCTCTTCGTCTTTGTAGGTTACTGTCAAGGAGATGGATACAGGGTAGGGTTTGGCTCCTGCATTGGAACCATCCTCCCTGCCCTGCAAGACTGAAGCACACATACTGTTACTTCCGGGGGCATCTTTCTGTGGAGCACTAAAAGACACGCCTACAGTATCTCACCCTGTTCTGATGTTCACTATCTACAAAGGACAACTACCGCCAAACGTTCTGCTCACAAAATGTCCCTCTCTCTCATACACACATACACAACACTCTTAAAATGTTTCCAGTTTTAGTTAATTGATGGACTTTTCTCAGAATCAGTCAGTACATAGTCTCAGAGCTCTGGAGATTCACAGAGTGACCTTGTTACTGAAATCCTTTGCATTATTCATCTAGCAGAGGGATTTTCTCATATCACAGTTATTGCTCTACCAGGATCAGTGTTATTGATGTGCTTTGTGTGTTTGCTCCTGATTTATAATGAAATAATCAAATTTTAATATCACTGTGTTTGTCTTTTGTTTTTCTGTCAACTTTGTGTGCTAAATATAGACTTTAATCACTGAGGCATTCAGAACTTATTCTTGAAATTATTGCTCATTTAATGATTTGTAGTTATTCTTACTTTATATTTCACTTGTATTATGTGGCATTCATGTGGACAGCAAAGTAAGAATTTCATTGTACAGGGAAAGATGTTTCCTAGCTGTCCATCCATCCATCCATCCATCTTCGTCTGTTTTATCCAAGGCCGGGTCACGGGGGCAGTAGCCCCAGCAGAGCCTCCCAGACTTCCCTCTCCCCACACACCCCCTCCAACTCCTCAGGAGGAACCCCAAGGCGTTCCCAGGCCAGAGGGTGAGGGAGAACTATGGTAGGACTCAAAACTGCTGACCCAGGTGCTAGTAAAAATGGTGGTTTAATGGTGGGGAACACACACAAAAAAAGGAACAGTCAATAAATACAGTACAAGGACAAACTAACGGCAAGACTAAGGTGAGCAGGAGGATGAGGACGGACAGGTGAATAGACAGGCTAACCATGAGGACGGACGCACGAAAACGGAAATCAACAGCACAGGAACTGTCAGCGTGGATAACAAAAAATACGTCTAGCTAACGTCACGGAAAAAACATAAAGAGAGATCCACAGCACAGGAACTGTCAGCGTGGATAACAAAAAATACGTCTAGCTAACCTCACGGAAAAAACAAAGATATCCACAGCACAGGAACTGTCAGCGTGGACCTATAACACTAAACATATAACCAACGTACAAAATGCAATCCACAGCACAGGAACTGTCAGCGTGGAAAACATAATGACATACCATGAAATATATGGCTGTTACGGGGTATGCACATTACAGTAGTTAATGCTCCTGTGCCGGCGGAGCGTCTGCCAGAGGTATAAATAAGGTAAGGAAATCATTACCTAACGCGCCTCAGCTCTGCGTGGCAACCCACAAGTCACTAATTACAAAAAGCGACACAGCTGAGGCGCGGATCCCACAAAAAAAGAGAAAAGCAGGAGAGAGAAAAGAAAGAGAGGCAGGTCGCGTCGAGCGGACCTGACATGTTATTATGCTTTATTCATTCTGATTTTGTCAGACAATGTAATGGTAAAAAATGATGATTTGACCAGTCTGAAAATTACTGCTGGTCACACATAGAATTTACGAAAACCTACCAAACTACTAGTCTAATGTCATTCGAAAATAAAAAGTAACAAAGAGAACACATACATGTTCACATTTTTTCAATGAATTCAGCTGTATTTGAACTGTGTGACAGTAATCACAGAGATCACAAAAAGAGGTTTAACCAGGTGAGACCATGTGGCTGTGACACAGCATAATTGTTTGCCATGTCAAAAAGGACAAAGAAAAACCCATGTAATAGCATGTTTCCCCTCATTTTTCCTCCTCTTCCTTGTCTCTCTACCTCTCTAGATTCTTGTTTACAAACACAAACACAGTAGTAGTAGTACTATAAATACATTATGTTTGCCACATATTTGTGTCAAGACAAAGGCCCTGATCAGACAAAGTGCACAGAGGAGCACCACACAGCCTTTTTTGCTGAAGCTTCCTGGCTGTATGTCTTCGCCAACCAGTCGAAGTCACAGGAATGGGACAAGCATGAGGTTTTTGAGAACTTTGAAGAAATTCCCTCAAGGCGCCCTAATAGCGCATTCACAGCAAGGGTTAGGTGTTAGGGTTGGGTCTTGTATCACCAAAATGACCACCACCTAGACAGTCCATTGGTCCTGCCGAGTGGGGAAACATTTATTCGCTGTAGGTCAATGCTATATTTTGGGTCACCGGCACGAAAGGCTTGCCTATCAATTTTTCAAGTTTTTTTCACCTGGAGGCGATCAGGGTACTACTGCAAGAACCACGAGGTGGACAGAGCAGAAGAACACAAGATGGTCAGCAGCACAACAGCAGCCAGCAAAATACTTCACTTTCGTTGAAAGCAACTACAAAAAGCTGCCCTGGGCTGCTAAAACACTGTCTGATCAGGGCCAAGCCAGGAAGAAATGAAACGCACCATTCAGTGTTATTTGTAAGACAGTTGGCGATAAATGTATATTAGGCATTTGCAGTGAATTTCAGATGAAAACAACTGAAACATAAAAACTGTGAAGTGGAGAAAAGAGCCACACTGGAAGTGGAAACACGATGCAGCTGTGTACTGTGGATGTTGGGCATTACTCCTCACCCTTGTCCACTCTGTGCTACTGCTCAGCTGTGTAGGGTGCTCTTTATCTCACACAGCATTTCAAACAGGGAGTTATTTAATAACTTCCACTCAATTTTTAACTCCAGTGTGTCAGTAAACTGCTGACTCTCATACTGACCCCTGCCACACAGAGATGTCCTAAGGACGTCTAACCGAGGATTGAGTCAGACACTGAAAAAGCGGTCCACTGAGTGGCCAGAATGAAAGTTTTATGCAACGTCTTCTTTGGACATGTTCTGTGCATTCAATTTGAACATCCATCAGACATCTTCAAAGGGTTCAACATTAAAGCTTATGCAACATCATTTATAGACATCCATTAGACATCTTCACCACACGTCTGTAAGTCTTCACCCAGTGTTACAGACATGTGGTAGAAGAACCTCTTGCCTTATTAGCTGTGACATACAAAAAGTCAGGCAGCAGTAACTGATCAGCACCTAAATAAATTCACAATTTATTTCATTTAGGGTTTTGATTGAACTTTTATTTTGAACCTTGAGAAGACATCTAATCAGTCTCCAAATTATACAGAAAAAGTTCATAAAAATGTCACAAAAACTTTCATCCTGGCTACGCTGTAGACCACATTTTCAGTGTTGGACACAGACCTCAATTAGACAGCCTCAGCACATCTTGGTGTCTAGTGGGTATATGTCATAGATGTCCAAAATAAGTCTGGACCAGATGTCCAAATATCCCACCTATTGTGTACATCTTCAGATGTAGAAAGGTGGTCTGTGCCAGACGTCAAATTACTGAACTTATATTAGATGTCCAAAGATATCCAACATGAGTCATATCCAGATGTCAGGTTTTGAACCTCTATCGCACATCTCACAAATGTACAACTTGATTTAGATGCAACATACATGCCCAACATTGGGTGTTTGCTGGGATGACACACCCTTTTCCCTGCTTAAAAAATAAAAATAAAAGTATTTGTCCAAGGATGTAAAGGGACTTGGGGGCTGATGTGGAATCAGCATTGTGAGAAATGTCTCTTCTGTGGTTTACTGGAAGCATAGGCACTTAATATCATGCAACTGACACTCATTTCATAGGTGATAAATTCCGTCTATGCTGATATATAAGTTCAAGACAGATTCAGTTAATAGGAGCAAGAGCTCCTTTGCTTGTTCTAAACTAATAGCTGAGACAGGCAAAGCAAACAAGAAACAAATCAGTTTCTATATAAAGGCAATGGTGTCTTGGTGTAATACTGTAGTTCAGCCTTGACATACTGAACTGCATAAGCCTGTTTTGCCTTTGTGTGCATGTGTGTGTGCATTTTGTACAGCATGAGGTGAGGACATGCTATCTAGCACATAACACAACTGCTAGCGTAAAGGCTAAATGTCCATAGAGAGTCTGAGCATTAATGCTCAATATGTATACTCAGACAGTGATTTTCAAGCAAATGCAAGTCAATCAAACCCTGTAACTAAGTCACAATTCTATAGAAAACATACAAAATCTGCCTATGTGGCTTAAAATGAAACCGATAGACAAAGGCCTCTCTACATTTTACTTATGTCTTGCATTAAAAGGACACTCCACTGATTTGGTGTTTCAATTTTAGAAACTTGCTAGACAACATTAAATAAACAGAATGGCCAAAACAGAAGCACAGGCCCATAGTCTGAATTTAGACCCTAGTATGGGATAAATTCCAAAAACCCACAAACCTATACTTCCCATTGCGGAGTTGGCATCTTTTGGCATTGCCATGGTTATTTTCTCAGACCTGACAAAACTCAAAACCTCAGAAGATATTACAGAGGACTAAAATGAAACCAGAACTTCCAGGTTCTCATTGCAGTGCTGGAACATTACCTGGCTAAATCACATGTATGTAACACTGGATTTTATATTTCAGTTTGTCTTTAACATACAGTATGTAAGAATGCAAACATCTTATATTACTGTAATGGTTTGTTTTGTTCAGCAGACATTAAAAATAACATTTCTAATCATAAGCCCCTATGCTGATGAGTTAATTATCATCAGTTTTACAAGATGGAAGACACTCACATGACTGCGACAACATTCAAAGGACTGACCGTGTGACTGACAAAGGCAGGTGGTCAGGTAATTTTTGGTGTCCTAGCCCAGAACAAATAGAAACATTACCTACAGTGATTTAAGCATGTGCTGCTGCACAGGGAAAACATCACGAAAGTTCACTATGTGGATAATGAAGGTCTCTACTGCTAATGGCACCTATGGCAGTAGGCTATCATTTTTCTCTGAACATGGATAGAAAAAAATCAATATTCAATTAGAGATTGCATGGAAGAAGTTAGTGGAGCTGATGGCACTGGATTCCGGCCCTGTTTATGAGAGTGTCAAAAAAACTGGCTAGTACGTCCCATAAGCAGACTAATTTTGATATGCAAAGTCAGTGGTGTGCCCCTTTAAACTTGTCATGTCATTCAGAAACCAAGTTTTGTTAGACTTTGTTGGCTCGATGTAACCATTGAATGGTGGCAAAACTGAAGGCGAGTGATTGTGATTGTTGCATCCGTTTACCTAGAGGCTCATGCTAACACTTTATCATACGATGTGTGGAGCAGAAACAGTCTCCGATTGTGCATTATACCTAACCTAGTCAACTTTAACATGGCATTATGTGTCATTCTTACATGGTGCCTGCATATAGATGATTGTCAGCACACAAAAGCTAATTTGATCAATATAACGAATCTCTTCAAAACATGTACTGTACTGCATGTATTCCATTACAGTATCATTTCGATTTGTCACATAGACTAGGTTGGGCCAGAGTTTAGTAGTTTTGGCCAG